ATAAATTTTGTTTTTTTATTATTTTATTATTTATATTTATTTTATTTCCGGTTTAGTTTTTGAGTGGAAAGTGATCCAAAGGGAGTCAAGATGCTTGAATAATTTTCTCTATGCTGTAGCTATTGTGTACCTTGTGTGAGTCCCTTATTTTAAAGGAGAATAGTCTTAAGGGCATGTGTATAAACTTTTTCTCTATTATATGTTTTTTATTATTTCTATTCATAAATTTATCATTGCCAAAGAAGATAGTGTGTTTTCCGATAGATATAATTTAGGAGTTCCTTACTTAGGTAAATCATATTTTTTACACTATGTTATAAAAAGATTTATGATAAATTAATTTGTGCTTTGCAAGAGGTAAGAAGCTAAAGCTTAAATTCCTATATTAACGTTTAAATTAGTACTAAATGAAAAATATAACATAAAATTATTAAATAAAATATGGGCTATGAGCCAGAGCTGAGTATTTAATGCTCTAATATCGTGAGTCAAAGTACATAAATAATATAATAAATACACGTTTAAATCTAGATCATTCTCAATGTTAGGAATATATTATTATATTATTTATGTATTTTAACTCACCATATTAGAGCATTAAATATCCAGCTCTGGCTCATAGCTTATATTTTATTTATTAATTAAATACATAAAATATTTTAAGAAGTACAATTTTCCCGTAATATTAAATTTCAATAATAAATAGTAAATTACATAATAGTAATAATAATAACAGTAGTAATAATAAATTTTACGATATCGTATTTCGAAATAACTATAATTATATTATCAATAATTATTACTTGTACTAAAATGTGTATATAATCTTAACCTAAGAAATAGTATTCTTCAGATATATTATATTTGATTCGTTGATAGTTCAATAATTTGATAATTACTTACAATTAGTAAGGTCTTGAGTGTTTCAATTAAAAAATTAAATTAAATTAAAATGAACAATTTTACAATCAATAACAATACAACTAATAAAAATATAACGCTTAGTTATTTAACGTCAAAAGTTAAGTTATGGTTCACGGCTTATTATCATTTGAATCAACAAAGGCGTGTCCCTATGACGTAAGAAAGGCGCGAACTGCAATCAAATCAGTCGAATCAGGCAAATCAGTCAAATTGATGAACAATAACCCTAGATCGATAAACTTTATCTCTTGAAAGAAATAAGCGTTACTTTTCCAAGAAACCGCGGGTGGTAAATGGATATTGCGAGGGGGAAGGGGGGCACATATTTCTTTCTAGAGTAAGCGATCGAACACACGATTAGGATGAACTAGTACCATCGCTAGAATAAGTCAGGCTGATTTAGCAAGCATGAATGTGGCATGTGTATATAGGGCAAAGGCTCCGCTTCCGTTTCCCAGTGGCCTACTAAAATCGACGTATGCTTGCGATGTCGCTCAAAATAGCATCGCCATTTGAAAAGCACCAGCTAGTCGCTCCAGTAAATTAGGAACAGCACCGAGAACGAAAGAGCTAGATAAAAAGAACATATTGTGTTTTTTAGGACTAAATCGACGAACCGGAGATCGCAACTGATCGATGTTGAATGAATAAATCAAATGCTGACCTTTATCTGGCTTAATAGCTATTTATTACGTCGTACATGTAGAAAGAATTGCATTTAACAAACGCGAGCCTCTGAAATAATAACAGAGCTCTTGGATTTCCAATTTTAGTTTTTGCATAATATATGTTCTTAATAGGTGAGTAACCTACTAGATACTGTAATCTTATTAAAGTAATAAAAATAATAAAATGCTAAAGACATCAATTAACATTTATATATTAACAACAATTACAATTTTCCATCGATTATCAATAAATTATTATTTTACGTTTTTATCTTTATGTATATCACATATACATATATTATAATGTATCAAGGTTGGATAATAACTAGTTAATTAGTTAAAAATTAAGTAATAAAGTTAATTAATAACTTTTAATTTAATTTAATTTAGTTAATTAATTAATTTAATTAAGTAAATTAACTTTTAGTTAATTTTAAAAAATTTGAATTAACTTTTAATTCCAACTAATTATTTTATAACATTAAAACTTTTTTGCTAAGTTAAATTTTTGTTATTTTTACACATCAATAGTTATCTTATTTAAATAAAATTTTAAACATTAGGCCATTAGAAAAAGCCCACATAATCATAACAACATGACTATAATCTTGTTAGTGCATTTCTCTCGAGTTTCAAAAAGAAAGAAAAAAAGAAATGTTAAAAGCTATTGTTTCATTAATTAAAATTTTATTTAAATATTATGTAATATACAGATATTCTTCTATAATAATTATTAATATCGATATTTAATAATCACGATCTTTATATCTATGTTTCTTGTGTAATTTTTCTTATGTATAATGTATTATGTATCTATTATTATTAGTTAATTTTTCTTAATTAAAGAAAAAAACGTTTTTTGTATTAAAAATCAAATAAAAATAATATAGTCCTTTAATATTTTATATAAACTTGTTTTACAAATAAAAAATTGCCTTTATTCGGTAGTACATATTGTAAGTGTTTCTTTGTTTAGAATTATCTGATTTCAAATGATTACATTTTATATAACAATTATATTAATTACATATTATATTTAATTTATATTAATTTAATATAAATAACGCTTTTTAAAAATTTAACTTTTAATTTAATTTAAATTAATTTTTAATACAATAAATAATGAGGAGAAAAAAAAGTCAAATTTGGTTGAGGCTAAATGTCGGTTTACTCAATAATATTTTTAATTTTTAAAAATTTAAATTTCAGCTACCGTACACGTTTAAACAGAGCTCTGGTTACTGTCAGTATTTAAAAACGCAATCATAATTGAAATAATATCGCATACTATTAAATTGATCTTCATTCGATGATAATGCTAGTAGCATCCTAAAATACTGTAAACAACTTATTGCAAAAAATATTATCTCAGCCAGGTTCTTAGAACCTTTCGAACCTATCCAGAGCGAGTGTTTTATCTGATTTGACCACTGAGACTGTGGTAATATTTATTGCGTAATTAATATTTATAAAAAGAAACGTATTGAAAGGCTAGCGTGTATATAACAATAATTTCAAACAAGATCGATATATTTTTAGTTAGTATTTTCATGAAGAAAAGATTCTAAATTGGCCAAAAAGTTAATCAATATAAGAATATTTGGTTGTTTTGAAACATTCTATATCTATACATTCTTTGCTTATGCCACATAAAATTCAACAGACAAAAAGTTTTTAATGTATTAATCCAATATACTTGTAAATTATACGTTTTTGCGCGCTGTATGCGTGCTGTACTGCAATTCTGTGTAAATCTACTGTGACATAGCTCTTCTGGGTGTGTTTCCTCGTTTCGGCCTTGACGTCGCGGCGAATCATAATATAGAGAAATCGTCATTGCGTATAGAGACACTATGCATCGTGTATACGCGTCTGATTCACAGCATGAAAAAACGGAGAGAGAAGGAGACACATGTACCATCTTGCGTAACAGTTCTGTTGTTCCGCGCTGTAGCAACATTGCGTGGCGTTGATGCAACACTCAAAAATATCTACGGTATAGCTGCAACGGCGATCGCACATGTACGTTAATGTGCATCATGTGCGCGCGAGTAAATTTGCATGGGAGTCACGTCAAGCGTTGCATACAGGGCTCAAGGCAATATTTTCGGCGACGACACAGACGCGTATGTTTTTAAGACTCCTCTGAAACGATAACTCCGAGACAAGCAGGTGGAGTTAAGTCATCCGCACAGATTGCTGGCGGAAAGACTGTAAATTCACTCTTTTATTGTGCACAATTATAATCTGATATATAATCTTTTTAAGTGACAAAGTAGAGTTGCTGATTCTTCCAAAAAACCTCCATTTTTTAAATAGTATATAAATTTTTACATATATTTTGATAGTTCTTCTTAAATGTGAATTCATTAAAAAACTTTTTTTCGTTTTTTATATGATTAAAAAGTTATAAACAATATTTTTTAATGACTTATAGACCATGGATATAAAATCATTTTACTCATTTTTTAAATATTATAATAAATGTTAAAATGTTGTCCATTTACTTTCATTGATTAATTTAATCATTTACGTATTGCAACAAAAATCACGAAAAATTTTAGAAAAGGCACATTACAGATTCATATATGATAAAAACTTACAAACTAATCATTTTGACTGCTTCATAGTAATAAAGTGTTAAAGAGATCAAGATTAATTTTATTAATGTTTATTTCACAAAACAATGATGGCATAATATTAAGATTCTTCGTCGCAAACAAGGAGATTTTATATTCTAAAAGTAAGGGAAAGTAACGTGTATGAACAATATTACACAATCATAAATTTTCACATAACTTTCACTTATTTGCATTCCTTAATTTCGGATTAAACATATTTTATGGTATGTATGTATATATTTATCTTATAAATATATAGTTTTTACAAGTTTTATTTTTTATCAGTACAAGCTGTAGAATGGGTAAACATTTTAATAGCTATTTTAGTTTTTTCAATTTTATCGATGTTTCGATAACTTTCGATATTTTTATTAATTTTAATTCCGATTTCGTTGACAACAATAAATAAATCATCATGCAGATTGTACAATATCTGGACAATAATAAAGAAAAACTAAAGCAATTGTTTTTGCAATTATTTATCCAAAAACAGCAAAGTTAATGCAAGATCGCCTATTTTTACGGGATTACATCACTGGACCGAAAATTTATGGCGCGGTTCAGCAGAGCGCGGCAATTCGCATCTCTGCGTCACTTGGTCATCTGCGTAAGCTTGGAGTAACTACACATCTTCCCCTCGTCTCCGGCCGCATGTAAATACACACTTTGAACGGGTAGGAGACCGTCTCCCGAAGCATCGTCGCCATCCTCGTTGTCATTGTCGTTGTCGTCGTCGTCGTCGTCGTCGTCATCGTCGTTGGCGTGGTGGCAGCCGCGGCAGTGGCGGTTGGCGGTGCCGCGCATCTCTCGTTAGTCAAATCGTGATCGTCGTCGCGCGATCATTCGGCACGTTACACTTGATATATAAAATCTCGGCACGCGGATTGACCTGCGTACGAAAATAAACTTCATCGAGAAGTAAGCGAAGACTGGCAACTTGTTCCGCGGTTACGCGCTCTTTGTGATGATATTACACCCTGCGACTTTATCATTATTTTTTTTATAAATTGATACGCAAGAAGAAATACATAGTAAAAAATATTTTGTATTTATGTTAGAAACGGTCCACTCACTTGTTTGTTAAAATTTTGTGTAGACATTTTTAACATATTCAAGTTAATTTAACATAATGTGATTATATGTTATTTAAATATTTTGTGTTAAATCGATATTTAACATTTCTTAGTGTCAAAATAACACAATTTATAAGTGAACAAATAACATAAAAATTATAATTTGCTTTAAAACGTAAATTCTAACATACGTGAATAAAATACGTGTTAATTTAACATACCAAAAATGGTTAATTTTATTGAAAAAATATGCTTCCACAGTTTGTTTACAAATTGTGTCAGTGTTACATTTTTTGTGTTAATTTTTTAATACAATATTTGTGTTACTTCCTAACATATTCATCTTATGTTAAATTAACACAAAAATTTAAGTGAATCGTTTAGAACATGTGAAATATGTTAAATATGACACAAATTTTCCAACTTACATCAGTGTACATAATATAAATTCAAGATTTAATTTATAATAAAGACACGCTGTATAAATTGATATTTTAACAAGATTATTTATATAAAATCATTTTATTTTTTTTAATGTTGATTTATGTGTGCTAAATGAATAAAATTCTCAGTTATCGTAAATTAAAATAAATAATTATATTTATAAAAAATATTTTTCAACCATTTTAGTATTCTATAAACTCAATTTTTGAAATATTTTTATATGTGTGTTTTGTGTATCACGTTCTACATACCTAGAGGGAATTAATTTTAATGAATTAATTTTTCCATAAAAAGACATACACACACCCCGCGCACACACACACACACACAAGCTACAATCATATTAATGAGTTACATTTATATAAATATAAATCTCAGTTCTTTTGATTTGAACTTTATAATGTCAATGATAGCAATTGTTACCTCGATATAAATATTGTGAAAATATTGCATAATAAGGACATCATGAGAAAAATTTCGTAATAATTGCGCTATGATGATTTGTCATAACGCAACATTTTATCAGAATAAAATTTCTAAATGATATTTGTCAAAAATTAGACAAATCTAATTTGAAATTAAATATGTTATAATTAATGCAATACTTACAAACATAAAATCACAATCTTTAATATTTGTCATAATATAATACAGCAATATTTGTAGTATTCTCAGACATAATATTTGTATTTTAATTATTAAGTTAATTAAATATTTACTGTTTAATTCTTCTTTTAAAATTTTACCAATTATTGGAAAATTTCTTTTCAAATTTAATTTGGCAAATCTGCCGTTAAGATAGTTCGCCATATCATTACTGTTTTGTCGATATATTTTGAAATAAGATGCACAAATAGTTATCAATATTTTATAAAAGATCCGTACTATTTCATCTATTTTTGTAAATATATCTATATATAATTGCAGAATACAAATTTTTTACAAGATTTTGTTACATAATTATATAAATATTTTCGGGGTATAAATAAATATCGAGGTTCACTTGGTATACACTTGAGAAAACAAGTTTGTAACAATAAGACTTTCAAAGTATTCTAGAAATTTATTTATTTTTTTGTCTAATTTATTTTTGTTAATGTTGGTAATTAATAATTATCATTTTTAAATTCAAACTACAAAGAAAAGTATCGTAAAATTCTTACATTAAAATTCTATATTTGTTTAGAATAATTAAAAATAAACGAACTATTTTAATATTGCCGAAGTTTCTCTCTCTACATATCAATCACATCTTACTCAATTCCCAGAAACAAACTAAAACTACGCGGTGCGTAGCATCGGATCTGCGACGAAGGGAGGGAGGAAAGATATAAACTGTAGTGATATTCGGATATCAAAGACTTATTATTGACTTTAATGATGATGGAGCGATTGATGCTGCTGGCCTTTTTAATCACTGTAGTTTTATGCCACGAGCCGTTTCAAGTAATCTTTGAATGGAAGACGATTGACTTCCAATGGCCATCGGACGAAGATCGACAATATGCTGTAATGCGTGGTGAATACATACCGGCGAACAACTTTATTACCACTGTGAAATTCTGGAAGGATAAAATGTATCTAACATTACCGCGATGGAAAGACGGCGTACCGGTAACGCTGGGCGTTACGTCGGCGAAACCGAACGGTAACACGGCACCTAAATTGGAGCCCTTCCCCAATTGGGATATGCAGAAACTGAGTGACTGCACGGCATTCCAACTGGTCCACAGCATAGAGATTGATCCTAAGGGTCGCATGTGGATACTTGATACTGGTCGACCCACGTCTCTCAGAGAATCGAAAGCCGACTGCTCGCCGCGTCTTGTCATTCTCGATCTCGAGGACAACAATAAGATTCTTCGTACTTATCAGTTCCCCGAGCACGTAACTCGCCGCAAAGATGCATACCTTAATGACATTGTTCTCGATCACGAGGACGGCGGCATGGCATACATCACTGATACTAGTACTACCGATCCCGGCATCATTGTGTATTCTTTAAGAGATAACAATTCCTGGAAGGTCCGACACGAGTCTATGAAGGCAAAATCAGAGGCGGTCGGATTCATGGTAGCAAAGACACATGTAATCCATCCAGTGCACGTGGATGGCATAGCACTTTCACCAGCGAGTAGTCGCGACAGGTATCTTCAGTATTTTTTTCATAAAATATCCTGATTTCCTTTCATAAAACCATGGGGTCTAAATATCTTGTTAATACAAAGTTTTTTCTCATTCTCTGTTCTTATATTAATAATACATCTACAAAAGGAAAATATTGCATGCTCTGTCTTTCATTCATGATCAAATAGCAAATTAAATAATATAAATGAATTGCAATACATACGATTTAAACAAAAAGTAAAGAAACTGTAAGAAGAAAACGTCACTTTACGGGAATAACAATATTTCCATAAAATAAAGAATATTATTATATGCAATTTCAAAGAAACAAAGACATAACTATATCCAAGCTAGCAATAACATTCTGCTTTCTTTTCTTTTTTTATTCGATTTTATTCACTTGCCTTCCTAATCATCTTCTCTATAAGATCTTATCTTTTAAAATAAGTTCTCATAGTAAAATTGAAGTTATTAAAATCCACTATTACTGACTTTATTATTGTATATTTTTAACATTTTCCTATATCGAAATTTCATGTTTATGTAAAATCTTCTAACAAACGACAAACGAATATGTTTCAGGCAAGTTTATTATTCTCCTTTGTCTTCTTTCCATCTATACTCGATTCCGACATCTGCTTTGAAGAATAACGCAACGAATATCGATCAATATGTGAAGGAACTTGGACGGAAGAATTCACAGACGGATGGCATGACAATGTCATCCACTGGCGTACTTTATTTTGGTCTACTGGCCGACGACGCCATCGCTATGTGGGATACCAAGAATACACCATCCTTCACCGTAGGTCAACGAATTATATCGCGCGATCACGTATTGACACAATGGCCCGACAGTTTTGCCTTTGACGAAGACGGCAATTTTTGGTGCGTCATCAATATGCTGCAAAATTTCTTAAACAATCGCATTGATATCAATGAGCCGAACTACCGTCTCATTCGATCACGCGTAGGCGTTAAGAGTTATCAATATTACGAAAACAGCACGGTACCCGAATTACCGGATTTCACCGCTGGTGCTGATTCCGTCAGACTTGCATTTGCCGTGCTATTATCTACCATTTTGATACTTATAGTGAAATAACCGTTTTACGATCTTGTTAAAAGTTCTATGTACATTGCATACCCCAAGAAAAAATTTACGAACCCATGTTAAAACAATCGATCATATTAACTCTTTAATGTGTTGTTTTTTTACGGCTTATTTAGAAATAATGACAAATTTGTTGTAATGAAGAAGATCTGACATTATTTAGGAATTGAAGTAACGAAAAAAATCTAACTCAGGCTAACATTATGAGAGATATAATTTATGATATAAAAGTGTGATTGATTACTCTTATATCATTGCCAAAATAAAAAAAACTTTTTATATGATTTGAAAGATCATTAGATATAATCTCATATTATTATCAAATATAAATTTATTAAAATTATTATTTAATAGAAATGTACCGTAATATATACGATTTAAATTATTACTGTCAAAATATCGAAAAATAATAATATGAATTCAGATTGGAATTGAATATGAAACTAAATATTTATCTGAATCAAAATGATTTTTTTCTTTTTTAAAATCTAGCTTAGATTTATCAAATCATCTTCACCTATTAAATATTGATATTATTTATTCCAAAGCTTCTTAAATTTGTGTATGTTATATAATTTTCTTTTATTTTAAGTAAAACTTCAATTCTCATAATTATTCAATTCTCATCTTAATCAATTCCATTGAAACAACAGCTAGAAAAATTATTTCAAAATAAGATCATCAATAATATCATTGATGATTATGGCTTCGTGTCATATAGTACTGTGTTCTGAAAATTTAGTGGCAAATATTGAGAAACATTTTTTGTTATATCAATATAATTGATAATAATTTGTCACAATTAATAATAATAATTGACAATAGAGGTTGAACTTTATGATAGATAATAGCATAAAAATGTTTTCTGATCTTTTAATTATGTACAAAATTTTTAATTTTGACAATGATATAAAAATAATCACCTACAGTCTTTTACATGACAGTATGTAAGTTTTCGCTAATCTAAATCAACTTTCTATACACCTCTTTCCTTACACATACACACACGCGCGCGCGACAGCCAACGTAGACAGCACATATCCAAAATTAGGACATAAGACGTCTTGAAGACATCTTAAATGATGCCTTTAAGGCGTCTTATGTCTCAATTTTGAACACACGTATTGTCTGGGAAATTTGTCGAGACAGATTCTGCAATGTACCTGCTTCAAATTTTATCGACAAAATACAGATTTAATACAGTTACCTATAACAATGCTATTTGCAAAACTTACTAACAAAAATATAGCAAAATTTATTAATATAATAAAATATGATAGCAGAAATCAACAGATTTTTATATATTTGCTACACAGTTTGATACAGATTGATGTAAGACATAAAACAGAATTTACGAGTCAGATTATATCTGCAGGCTTTGCCGAGTTTAATGCGGACGCAGTTAATACCAATTTACTATCAATTTTTGATCAAATTTGCTGCCACATTATGCACAGTTTGCTTACTGAGAGAGTTGTTTTCTCTAAACTGAACTTTTTACACTTTGCTCTTTCATTACTCACAATCACAATTTCTATATAATCATGACTATTTGAAACTATGAAATATGATAGCTTCTGTTTTTCACTTATGTTTTATGTTAAATTTTAAACCAATTGCATGTACAACATTTTCAAGCAGCTCATGTACCATTAAAATAAAAATGAGAAAATTTAGAATAGAGGAAATACTTGAAAATGCAATAAAGATTTAAAATAAAATTCAAATATATTGTATGATTATAAATATTTTAAACAGTTTGAAAATTAACTATATTAAAGTAATATTTAAAATGATTTTCACAGATATTTTTACAATTAAATAATTATTCTATTAACAAAAAATTGTGTTTTTTATATTCAAGATTAAATTTTGAATTTGTGTACCAAAATGTACACTTAAGAGTTAATTGAAGATTTTTTGTTAAACTTTTTTGATTATTTCTGTCAATTATTTTAATTTCGTTTTAAGTCTAAATGATCAAAGCGCGTGATTCAAATTGATCCAAACATCATGATTTCGAGGATCAAAGGAAACGCGAATTTACAAACATATTAGAAAACGCAGTTTTATTTCAATTACACAGCTGTTAGCTGTTTATCGTAAGATGGGTACATACATATGTTGAGCGAATGAGCAATGAATGTGAATGGTGTCAGCGTTCGCAATTATGTTCGTTGTTGATACATTTTTCTGTTTATTTTAAACATTTACATTCTTTCAAATTCAGCATTTATCACGTAAGGTGAATGTAAAATTACCGAAAAATGCAGTGATATCGCAAGTTTTATTATAATTACTAGTTTGACAAAAAAGAAAAAGAAATAAAAAGGAAGATAGAAGATATTGTCGATAACACCACGAATGAATTAAAAGCGAACAATGAATGCATTACATTCCCGTTAACTTTGTGCACGAATTTTCCTTGATGTAACGTTTTAATCGCTTCAAATATGAATCAAATGCTGACGAACGTTTTGTTTGCGTTTTATTATATGCCATTTGAATTTTGACAGTAAAAATTCGCATTCTCTGTTTGTTCGTTCATTCGACACTATATATACCTACTTATAAATATTACGGCATCACCTATGATACTTATCGTAGAAAGATGCTAATAAAAATGTAAATGGAAAAGATTTGTTGTGTAAATCTATTTATAATATATCAATATTAATATTAATATATATATAACATTTCAGTCGATATATATTTTAACATTTTTTAGATTCTTAAAAAATATTTATTTTCCTAGTGGAAATTTTTCTGAGAATTCTTTATATAATTTTTCAAAATTTATAATAATTTTATAACTAAAAAAAAATTTTGTAATTTTTTATATGTATTGAAATATTTTTTAGAATTTTACTGAGGAAAACTACATTTTTTTTAGAATTTTACTTTATATTTGTGAATTCTGAAATATTCTAAAATTTTTAAGATTTCTCATTCTATAATTTCTAAAAAAATTTACAAATCAGAAAAAATTTGAAGTATTTTTTAGAAATCTTTGTATATTTAATATATAAAAAATTCTTAAAGATATAAGATATAATAATTTTTTCACTATAGGGTTGATCAACTCATTATTTAATTCATGTTAAATCTCTATGTATGTATGTATAAAATATTTATTAATATTATTATCATTATTAAGATTATAAAATCATTTATTATTATTATTGTTATCTTAATATTATTATAGTGATTATTATTATTATTATTATTAATGGAAATTCAGTACAAGGAAAATTCCAAATAAAATATTTATTACATAAAACGTCGTCCTTGTTTTATTCTGTAGTCAAGTACATAAACATACTCTAAACCACATCGTTATGCTGTTCGCCGATGGAATGTTTCATGCATTTTTATCGAATGAGTCACGCCTCGTTTTTCTCTCTGGGGATTCAATTCATTACATTGTAAATAAGGCCGCGTGTGTTAGCAGCATTAATAAGCGACACTTTCCTCAGAATGAAAACTGTGTACGAGATCTTCATCACCAAATCTGGCTAATGAGTGCATTGTGCGAATCTCTCGGACGAATAGAAATTACGTAGACGCGGTCTATGTTTTCAGTTATCTTTTCAATCCCTGAATGACGGTGGTTTGGGTTTACGAAAGAGCATTGCAGTCACTAAAACATTCGTGCGTGCGTACATAGCTAGTGCGTACACAGTGCATCCTCGCATAAAAGTGGAACAGAACATTGCAAGGATAATTGTGGGAAGCCGTCTCTTCCATCCTTTCAGTTTCCTTTTATAGCACTAGAACAAAACAAAGCGCTTCGCGCGCGCCATTTATTCACTATCACTGAAATATAACGCACACATACACACATAATAGGCATTTAACATTAATATTATATTATTTTTATAATATATAGAACATTTCAAACATTTTAAGTTCAATAGATAACACGCTATATAATTAAACAATTAAAACAATGTCGTATATACAGTGTATATATAGGTATACATATACAGAGTGTCCCCGTATAAGTGGTCACTCCTTTTTATCTCGTAAACTAACAGAGATAGATCTAATAAATATAATATCAAATTAAACGGCTCTGACTAAACTTTATTGTAAGCACAGTGATCACTTAGAAACATTAT